TTTATATATCAATAATAGTTCTCAAAATAATCTATGGTGTTCTTCTCTGTAATCCCTTCAAAAACACATTCTACTTACCTGCCAAAAGTAGAACTTCAATACTCATCAGAGACGTCAGCCAGGTATTCATGGTGTCCACTTCAATCAACCCTTTCAAGATAGCTCGGACATTAAAAGCATTTTCAGCTTTGATTGGAGCAACATAGATTTTGCACTTTATAAAGAGTAAAGTAAAAAATTACTATGATTTTTGCTTCCGTACACTTGCTGTACTGAAACTTGGGAAATTAAGGAGATATGATATAAATATGGCCCTAACGTCTTCACCATAAGGTAAATTAATGACCCACCATCTTTCCAAGCTAAGGGGAAAAGGATCATCTAAAAATCTTACATAAAGTCTTTACCACTCCATCCCTGCCTAGTCCTACCAGCTTACTTTGTGCATGTGTAAGTTGGATAAATGATAACCTCTTTCATTAACTCGCTATTGGACAAAAGCTGAATTTTTAAAAATAAATTCCAGATATTAAAATACTAGCAAATGGTGGGGTCTTGCTTTGTCCCGTCCTACAGTTCCAGCTTTCCCTCGAGCTGCTCTCCAATTTGAACCTGCACCGCAGCCCTGCTGTTCTCCTCAGACAAGCCTGGCACACGTCAGCCTCCGCCTTGGCCCCTGCTGGTCCCTTCCCAGATTCCCTAAACTGGCTCCATAGCCTCCTGAGAGCCCAGCCCTCCTTCGTGGCCCTGCTCAGGAGCCCTCCTCCACTGACTCCTTCCTCAGCCGTTCCAGTTCTCGCCCACCTTCCCCAATGAACCTCTAGCTTACGTCTGCAGAGCCTGGACCAGATAACGCAGTACCATGTATACCTCTCCTTCTAGACAGTACAATTTTTGGAGAGATTCAGGGATCAGTTTTCTATTTCCACAACCTTCTTAGTGCAAAGGACCCTAACAGGGTCCAGTAAATTCAAATTCATGAATACATATTTAAATACCCTAAACCTAGATTTACCTAAATCTGAGAAAAATGGCTTTCATACTTGTGTGGGTTGGCCAGAACCCACGGAAGCCTGGCTGGAAACTGCTATGTATGCCTTAGCACCCTGCCACCTGCCCTCTCCAGCACCCCCAAGTCAGGGCACAGACAAAATCCCCTTAAAAATACTGGCCCTGAAGTTTTCTGAAAGTTTGAAAAATTAAACACATACACATATATTACTAAATATACATTTAATGTATGTATTTTTAAGAAAAGACTAAGAAGCAGCTATGCCAGAAAACATAAAAGCCACAATAAACTCCCAGAAAAATAATATCTCCAAAACCACTTAGAATAAACTCATCTTACAGGTATGTCCTGATTGAAATAACCAAAA